AAAACACTTCCCAGAAACCACTTCCCAGAAACCAGCCCCCAGAAACCGCTTCCCAGAAACCACTTCCCAGAAACCACTTCCCAGAAACCACCGTCCAGAAACCACTTCCCAGAAACCAGCCCCCAGAAACCACTTCCCAGAAACCAGCCCCCAGAAACCAGCGTCCAGAAACCACTTCCCAGAAACCACTTCCCAGAAACCAGCCCCCAGAAACCACTTCCCAGAAACCAGCCCCCAGAAACCACTTCCCAGAAACCACTTCCCAGAAACCACACCACTTCCCAGAAACCACTTCCCAGAAACCACACGACTTCCCAGAAACCACTTCCCAGAAACCAGCCCCCAGAAACCACTCCCCAGAAACCACTTCCCAGAAACCACTTCCCAGAAACCACTTGCCAGAAACCAGTCACCAGAAACCACTCCCCAAAAAACCACTTCCCAGAAACCACTTGCCAGAAACCACTTCCCAGAAACCACTTCCCAGAAACCACTTCCTAGCCTCGGGAGACCGTTTCACCCGCGTTCCGAAACAAGGCGAATCCAGGGTCCGAAACGAGACGAATCCAGGTTCCGAAACGAGACGAATCCAGGTTCCGAAACGAGGCGTCGGCCCTCCGGTCACGAGCGATTGCTGCTCTGAGGTTCACACACTTTGTTTTGCTTGGACACTTGTACATAAGAGAAAGATAGAGAAAGAGAAAGTATCAGGAAACATGTCCCTCCGGCTCAAATATGTATCTCTGGCTGGAATTGCTTGAAAAACAAAGGCACCTCATCGAAGACGTCCGAGGTGTGCTCCTTGGCATAGATCAAGGCATTGATTGTGGTCTCCGCCGCGTCGGCGATGTGCTTTGGCATACAGAAGTCCATCTCTTGCAACGTCCGAAAGGGCGTGAGCCTAGCAACTCGGTCGACCGACGTGGTCGCCGTTTCTGGACCTGACCTGGACCTAGGTGTACGAGCACTCGAGACGAAACACATAAAATATATATATATATATACACAGTGTATATTCTGCCTTTTGCTTTGCAAAAAGTGCATCGTTGTGTTTAAGATGGTTGGCAGCGAAGGAAAACCCATTTCTGTTGTTTCGGCTCCGCATCCCTTCTCTCATGGACAGGAACAAGTGATTTGACCTGGCTGTCTACTAGCTGATGGTCGACTTGTTTGAGGGTGCAAAACCAGATTTAACATGGATGACCCACCCACCACAGCTGCACGGATTGACCTTGAAGCTTCTATGAATTGGGATCTCCTCTTCCACAATACATGACATGACCCTGAACCAAAGCATCCCTGTCCGAAATCGCTTGGAGCTCTTCTTGAAAACGGCAACCTCTATGTCAATGTCACCGATATCCTGGCCTGGTTAACACAAGGTCCTTCCAGATAGGGATCTTCGTCGTCAGCACGGCACAGTTTGCCAGAGCTCGAGTCATCCTCTCCTTGGTCCATGGTTGGCTCAGCAGTCATTGCCATGTGGATGAACAGTACAACCAGCTTTCTTTTTCAGCATCTTCATGATGAGTTGGTCGAAACTAAATGCTTGCCCAAAAACAATTTGCCCAAACAAAAACCGTTGCCGCAGCATACAATTTAACTCCATGTCTGTCTGTCTTCTTTTTGATACACTCCACACTTACAGATAGTGAAACAACGAGTGTAGTAAACCCAGTACTCACCTTCAAGGCCCAACCCCTGGGCCTATAAACTGTGCAAGGGTGCGTACGTCTGTATAACAACAACAATATAAACTAACCTCGTGATGACTCTTACGCCTTTATATATATATATATATTTAAAAAAAAAAAAGGTACGACTGTAGAAACAAACATCAACACTGCAAGAACGAACATCAACACTCATTGATGCGACTCTTCTTTTCAACCCACCTGCCGGAAACCGCAGCAATCTCGAGTCAGGTTTCACCAAATGTCAGGGTCTCAAAGCTTCTTGGAAGCGAAATTCTGAAAAATGCTCTCTGCAGCTTCTCTCAAACTACATTCCTTCTGCCTAAGAGGCTTTCAGCAGCTTCACTCAAAAAACCCTTTCTGGCCAGAGTGTCAAAGTCCTTCTTAAAGGTGGACCACATGTTGTGGTCGTAGGGCTTTGACACATGTGAGTGCAGCTTGTCCCAAGCATCAAAGAAGCCACCTGGACACGTCGTCGCGTGGCCCTTTCTGATTCGTGCAGCGCGACGTCGGGTCCAAGACGAACGTGTCAGACCGAGGGCAGGAAGTGGACAGATTATGGACCCCTCGTGGGAACGAACGGGCGGCTGAAAGGGGGCGGAACGGGCGGCTTCCGGTGCGTTGCATCCCTAGGGGCTTCCATGAGGTGCTGCTCCCCAGTCCGTGCGAGAGAAAGAACAAGAGAACTGGCGTTGTCCATTCAAAGCTGGCAGTCTGCTTCACAACAAATCACTCCCAAAACCTTCATACGACTTAAATGTCTTGTTTCTATCAAAGGCTGGCCTTCTTCTGCCCCTTTGTTCTCCGCTCATAAGATAGGTGCAGTTGCTACGGCATGGAGAACTTGTGAAAACACCCTACTACCAAAACAGCTAGTGGCAGAAGGCACTTTGTGGCATTGCTGATATGTCTAGTGGATAGTGGTTGTGATTGTACAAACAAAAAAGGACCTGCCACATTCATTGCCAATCCTGTGTGCTCGCAAGCCACAGTCCGTGTAGGTGAACATCGTCATGTCCCACTTCAACGCGCAGTACTCTCCATCTTTGTTCCGAGGAAGCTTTAAGGGACCATTCGTGGCCTCGGACCAGGGGTCGGATTTGCTGCCGGTGACTCTGCAACGTCAAGATGACCCAATTCTCCCACGCTACACTTCTTGCCACCGCTGCAATCTTTGTGCAGGGTTATCCTTAACAAAGACAGCTCTTGCTCTTGCCTGCCCAATTCGTGCTGATTGTTTCACATAGGCACAATCTTCAAATATTTATCCCACACTTTGTAACGACTCGGCTCGGAAACGCTGGCTCAAAAAGCTGTAAAATAGCAGAGGGCGTTTTTCCCCGAACATCTCGAGGCGCTTTTTTGAAGATCTTCTTCACCTTCTTGAAGAAGGACATCAATCCATCATAGCAATCCTCAACAATATGGATGACCTGAAGATGATCCAGCTGCTTGAGGGGACCAGATGTTGTGGGGGGGCTCGGCTGACTTTGGGATCTTCCTAACTAGCAGCGTCCTCTTGCTCCTAGTAGTACGGCCAGGAGCCCCTCGTAGCGTCCTTGCTCCCTTCGTGCCGATGCCCGGGTTCCAAGTAGTGATGCCAGGCACCAAAACATACAACGTACTTGACTTTGATTGGCGCAACACTGCCATCTTTGACAAACATTCAGGAGTCTGGGGTCAGATATCTCACAACTCAAAATGCAGGGCCTGTTGAAAACAACTGCAGATTTGGCGCCATCTTCTGGAATGAGTTGGCCATGTCAAGGACGTTGAACTTGTCCATAAGCGTTTGAATCTCTCCTTGCATGAGGAGCCGGAATCATGAGTCCAACAACATGACTAAAGAGGCCAGACTGTGGATTCTCGCCCAGTACCACTTGTAGAGGGGCAACTAATCTACAGCACAACCTGGAGATCCGTCCAAACACATGTATCATGTGCATTCAAAAAGCTGCCTGGTGCAACTGGCGTTGCACAAGAGTTGCCCAAAGTGGTAACCTGCTCCTGTCAACATCGCGGCAGCACCTTGGTCTTGCGCTGAGACTCTAGGGAAGGTGCCAGTGAGAAACTCTAGCAAGTCGTTCCCTACGCTCGTCAGCCCACGCAGCACATCTCCTTGGAACAGCGCTTGAGCCGGTAGAATGTTCAACTGCTAATGAATTGATTTGGCGATTTGGCATGTCACATCCACCACTTCCCTCCAGCCCCTCCAGCTGCTTGATATCCAGCACATGAGATGCTTATGCCAAACTCTACAGGCGATGGTGACACACCATGCACGCATCATCAAGCCACTCATAGATTCCAGTGCGACTCTGGGACTAAAGTTTTGATATCTCACCAGCCCAAAAGTTTGCAAAGTGCTTAAGTGTTTTTTATTGGGAGAAAACGCCTTTAAGACAACCAGCTAACTTAGGTGATACACCTTGATACACCTCTCTTTCACTCAAAAAAAGAACACACCGAAGCACTTGCGTCTGTTTCTGCTCCGTGTCAGCCTTAAGCCTTCTGAGGGTCGTTTCAAGTCTTTGACAATGAAGGTCTTGGCCGTCTTCAAGGCGTTCACCTGACCGGACTCGGTGGGTCTCCAGTCGATCCGGAGAGGGCGAAAGCAGGTGGAGAGGTCGGTGGGAGGAGCAGGTGGCGAGTCTACAGCGGCTTTCTTGCGGACATGGTGCGGCAGTTTTCACAGAGGTGCTGTGTCCGAGCTCATCTAGGCACTGGTCGAAAGGCATCCTCTTGAAGCAGCTCTTCCCCACTTTGCAGGTAGTCCTAGGGCTTTGAAAAGTGGAACTGAAACAGCTATACATGAGATTAGCGATTGCTTCATCAGGTTTGGAGGCAATATTGGTTGAACTGTATGGTTCTTGCCAACTGAAACAGACTCTTCAAATGCCAGAGAGCTGCTTACAAACGTACTTCTTGCATTTCTGCGGCTTCAAGATGCACTTCAGACCATGTTTGAATATCTCCTGAGCCCAGAATCCATTCTGGGCGCAGAAGCCCCAGGCTTTGCTAGGCCATCAGGTGTAGTGTTGCACCACGCTTTTCTAAAAGCTCTGCAAAAAAACAGGCTGAACACAGCATGAATAAAAGAATCAGGAAAAAATAACATCTACACGATGTCGGGCATCTTTTTGAGAGATGCAATACTGTATCTCTCAAGAAAGTCAGAGAATCAGGATGGAACCCAGAAATGAGGTTACCGAGAATCTGGAACCGATGGACTGCGGCGCTGCAACGCGGGTGTGAAGAGATCACCAGTACAAAAGCCAGGAGGACCAAAACAAAGCTCAATAGGCACAGCACGTACAGTCTGCGCAGGGCCACTGATAAAGAGAGTCCAGGCAAGAACAACTTTCCATATGAAGAACAACAGCTTTAAACATCTTCATTAGAGGTCCATGGACTCGAGTTCCACACCAGCAGCACCCGCTCGGCATCTTTCCCTCAAACTCCTGCTGCGTTGAAGGTGGGTCTAGGACCGAAAGGAGCGGTTGGAGCAGTCGTGAATTTGAAGAAGACACACCCGGCTCAATTGGGTGTGTGTCGTAAACAACGCCACTCTCCACCATCGCACCCATGCAATGAGAGTGATATTGAAGATTAGTTTCGCAGGGGAACGCTGATATTGATGCTGTACTTGGCTAGTGGGTAAGCCAAATCGCCAAGCAGGGCTAGCGCTTCATCTGCTATATGTTGGGGTCATGCTGACAGTCAATGACAGACCAACAAGACTTTAGAACTATGTGCATCCTTCAAAACAACGACTAAAATGGAAAACACGGGCCACTCAAGTGTTCAACTACTAGGAACGTGGTGGTGTCGCCTTGCAGGCTTGAGGAAAAGGAAGACCCGAATCAGGCGCTTTAAGAGGCTTATGACCTCAACAATCCTACAACACTCCATATGCAAACACTGATTGGACCAACCAAAACAGCCATGGCCATTGACTTCTCTGGCGCAGACACGGCTAAACATCAGGTTACTGTACTGACCAAAGGAAGGCTTTGGGTGAACGGACTACAAATTTATACTGTGCATGCGCACGCGAAAGCTCAACCGTTTGCACAGAAACACTCTATGTGTGAAGGTGATAAGGAATCAACTCCACCCGGTCCAACTTGCTCCTCTCCAAGGTGCCCAACCGCATTTCGTCTCTTCCAATTCGCACTCCGCGATATCCTTGTCAACTTCCTGACCGGGCGCCGAAAAACTGTTCCGCTCGGTTGGAGAGAACCGGGTTCATGCCGTTTTCCTCACAGAAGCTGAAGAGATTCTTGGAAAAATGAATGCTTCCACCGTAGGCCGTGACCGTGACGGAAAGGTGATTGGCAACCATGTTAAACAAACAAAATCAAAAAAGTGCCGCTGAAATTTGGCACGTCCCGCTCAGGTCTCGCTGAGAAGCAACGCTCACAATTTGGTGTCATGCGGGGGGTTCAGGTGTTCTTCGCTGTCCGCTGGCACCCTCAAATTTGACTAGCTTCGGGTGTCCTTAGGGCCTTGATTGTCAAACATGCCTCTCATGTTTTGCTTGATGCACCAATTCTCTAGAAGAACGTGTGTATATATACATAGGTTGTCCGGCAGCCAGGCGTCATAGCTGCCGCACTGTGTGATGCTATCGAGAAATTCGCAAACGCATTTCTCGCAATTCCTTTTCGTTGTGTTCGTCGTCATCAGATCCAAGCCCTCAGATGATGTCTGGTCTCAGTACGATTTTCATTGACATGTCGCCCTTTCGGTGGAGTTTTCGAGGACTTTGCCAGGTCGACCCTCATGACTCCACAGTGGCAAAACATGTGTTGGTACAATGGCCATTCTTGAGGCACAATCCTTTATTCAACTTTTCAACACGGTTGCATCCAAGTTCAAACCTAACCAAACAAATGTGGCATCAAATGCACGATCCTTAAGAATCCCAATAACCATCAAAGAAACAAAAATATGTTGAACCCGGACAGACCGGTTTGTCTTGTTGTCGTACAAGTGGTAACTTTCTTCGGGCCTGGCATGCATCAGCACTTTAAGATCTCAAATCTTGAGATCTGGAACCACCTGCGCAGATGGTTCCCAAGGCACGTGAGTCACCTCTCGGTATTGCAGGAAGGCTGTAGACTCACAGTTTTCGCAGTGCTCCGCCGATTCCGCCAATAGGAACAGCGTAAGGAAGAACATCGTCATGGCACGCGAGGAGGGTCCAACGAATGGATTCTGCTGCAGAACCAAAAGCAACAGAACGGTTCTTCAACCTCGAAGGCTGAATCATAAGAACGGTTTGACGCAGACATGTTCCACGCGCGTCACACAAGCTCACAGCGACCACCAAGGCCTGATTGAAATCAAGATCACGCCAAACCACGGGGTCCAAAATTTGATGTTTTCTGAAAGACTCACAAAAGAAACATGGCATTAAGCTCAAGTGCAAAGCCGCGTTGAACATGCAGTGACACAAGCTGT